TAAGCTGGGACTTTCCCTATGACCCCCGAGGGGAAGGTGTTGGACTTATTGGACACGTAGTTATTGAACAGGATCTGGAAGTTCTTGAGAACAGGGCTGTTGTCGTTCTGGTCAATGAGTTTGATGTGGACGGTGGCTCTGCTGACCAGAGGGGCAGAGGTGGCCTGCACGACAATCACGTACTCAGGTTTTGTCTCGTAATCCAGGTCTATCAAGGCTGTGAGCTCCCCAGAAAAGATGTCCATCTGGAATATCTCAGGGATGTTGCCTTCCACGATCTGGTACATGATCTGGGCATTGGGTCCCTCGTCCGGGTCGACAGCCGTGATCTGGGCCACGACAGAGCCCACAATGCTGTTCTCCTTTACCTACCGTGACCTCAAGCTGTCCATCAGGAAAGACAGGGGCATTGTCATTCACATCCTGAATGGTAACCTGGATATGGACCGGAGTCCGCTGCGAAGGGATGCCCCTGTCCACAGCATAGGCAGTCAGCTCGTAGACGGGAACGTTCTCGCGGTCCAGCCTGCGGACGGTGCGAATGATCCCCGAGGTGGGCTCTATGGTGAAGTCTCCATCCCCATCCTCCCCGTTCTGGAAGGTGTACTGCACACGCCCGTTGGTGTGGGCATCCCGGTCGGTGGCAGAGATCTGGAGCACACTGGTGAAGGGAGGCGCATCCTCGGAGATCATGCCCTGGTAATGAGGGCTGACGAACTGGGGGGCGTTGTCATTCACGTCGTTCACCATGATTTCGACATAGGTGGTGTCTGCTTTCTGGGGGATCCCGTTGTCCTTGGCGGTGATAGCCAAGGTGTAGGTGACCTGGTCCTCATAGTCCAGTTCTGCCTGGAGAGTGATGGCCCCGGAGTCTGGATCGATGCGAAACTGAGGGACGTTGTCTTCTAGGTAGTACGTGATACGGGCGTTCTCCCCCACGTCATCGTCCGTGGCACTGATCACCACCACGGTGCTGCCCACGGGCCGGTCCTCGTTGATGCTCACAGAGTAGTGGGCGCTCTGGAACACCGGCCGGTGCGTGTTGGCGTCGGTGATGTTGATGTGAACGTGGCAGTTGTCACGCAGGGTGCGGTCGGAGGCCGTCACGGTGAGCACGTAGCGCCTCTCCTGCTTGTAGTCCAGCGGCAGAGAGAGAGTGATGAGCCCCATCCCGCCTTGCGTGCTGATGGAGAAGCGGTTCCGCGTGTTGCCTCCTGTGATCTGGTAGGTGATGGCGCTGTTCACGTCCCGGTCGATCGCGGTGACGCTAAGGACGCTGGTCCCCACGGCTGCGTCCTCGTTCAGGCGGATGAAGTACTCCTTCTGGGTGAACTCGGGACGGTTGTCGTTGACATCCATGACAGTGATGGTGACACTGGCGGAGGCAGATAAAGAGGGAGAGCCGTGGTCCCGAGCCTCTACCCCAAAAAAATAGTGCTCAACCGACTCCCGGTCCAAGGGCCCGCTGACCGTGATCCACCCCGTGGCACTGTTCACCACAAAGGGCGTGTCGGCCGAGACCCCCGTCAGTTTGTACTCCAGGCGCGAGTTCTCGCCGTAGTCCGCGTCCACGGCCTGGATGTGGATGACGGAGTGGCCGAGGGGAGCGTTCTCCAGGACGGAGATTTGGAAAGGGGTGCTGACAAAGATGGGGGCATGGTCGTTGATGTCCACCACCTGGATGCTGGCCATGCCGGTGTTGTTAGAGAGGGGAGGGCGTCCCGCGTCCTGCGCCCGGATCCTCAGGGCGTATTCCCGCTCCACCTCAAAATCCAGGGGGGACACCACCTGTATCTCCCCCGTGATGCTGTCGATGGAGAACTGGCCCCGGCTGTTGCCACTGATGATGTTGTAGTGGACCAACGCATTGTTGTCCTTGTCCAGGTCCGTGGCGGTGACGCGCAGGATCTCGGTGTGGGGCCGTACGTCCTCCCTCACCTGGACGATGTAGCGCTTCTCGCTGAACTGGGGGGTGTTGTCGTTCTCGTCAAGGACCGTGATGTAGACCTTGACGGTGGCAGAGCGGGGCCCCGGCTCCCTCCCCTGGTCGTCGGCCTCCACCACCAAGGAGTACCGCTCCATCTTCTCCCTGTCCACCGGCCCGCTGGTGGTGATGAGGCCGGAGCGGGGGTCAATCTCGAAGACGGCGTGGGCCGCCCGCTCGTTGACAAAGCGGTAGCGGATGTTGGCGTTGGGCGGGGAGTCGACGTCGGTGGCCCGCAGCTGCAGGATGGGGTACCCCTCCTCCACGTTCTCCCGGATGGTCTCCCGGTACTCGCCCTGCTCGAAGACCGGGTCGTGGTCGTTACGGTCGGCCACGGCGATGGCCACCATGGTGGTGGCGGAGAGCCGGGGCGCCCCGTGGTCGGTGGCCGTCACGCGGAAGTA